GGTGCATTCATCGTTTTCATACATTTTTTTAATGCCGGTGCTAAAGAATATTTAATTCTCTCTTTAATGTGAAATAATGGAATATAAATTAATTGTTCTTATACCCATGTGCTTGGTCTATCTTCTTTGGCTTGTTTCCTATAGCTTTGGATCAAACTAATACATTCAAGGTGACCTCAGATTTACTTTAATATTTAGCTTGATCAAATCTGTATCCTGTATTTTCTGGTGAAGTATTGATTCCACCCCTTACTCTTTTTTTCTTTTAACCTCTATTCTTCCAATTGGGCAAAAGAACTTAATCTAAGGGGACACCAACACATGTGACTGAAGAAAGACCCATAAAGACAGACAGATTGGCATCTTACTTTGCTGTGATTCTCACTGCTCACACAAATACTGAGAAGCACATCTTTTTTTTTTTCTGAGGTGAGCTCCCTGTGAGAGAGGTGAGCAGAGAGATAAACTGATCAGGAAGAAGTCAATACACTGGAAGTGATTATGTGACAGTGTGTGTTTGTTTAAAGGTGTGTTTGTCAGTGATAGCAAGCTGAGGGAGACAGTGTTCAACAGCAGCCAGGAACAAGACCTTTAGAGAAACCAGTAAAAGGTAGATAGAAAGAGGAAAACACATCAAAACAGGGAATAATCTTATAATACATGTTTATATTTTGTGGATTACTAGATAAACAACTAAAACAACTGCTTAGAGGGCCAAATACTGCATCTACTGATTTTTTTTTATTTTTATCAAAACACACTTCTCTGTATTTGCGAAGCCTCATGTGTTGTTTTCTCAATCCATATTATTTAAAGAAACCTTCAGGGAACTGCAGCTTTAGCACTGGAATGAAAGCAATAAATTGTATTTATTTAGCACTTTGTCAAAACAGCTATTGCATCATAGTTGGCTCATACAAAGTCAATACTCAAGGAAACCACTAGATGTTTTTAAGCATGTTATGAGCATCTAAAAATTGGGGGAATTTGTGTTCATTCCTTTTATTACACAGCTGTGGTGCACAAGAGAGCAATCCTGGGATACGCTTCTTCAGGTTAGGCATCAGCCCTAAAGAGGGGATGCTTTCAGTATCTTGTATTGTCTTCTATTCACATGTGTGCGTTTTTGTTTTTGTTTTATTAACATGCAGTATGAGAATACCTGCTCTCATCATGTACCTTTAATAATTAACTTCATGAAGTGTAATATCTAACTTTAAGGGTAAGGCTCTTCAAGTGTCAGTTAAATGCCTCTCAAAGGACAGAGTGTTTTTTTTAAATATAATTTTTACTATTTATTTTTTTTTATTTTTTTTCTAAATCTAATTTTGTGTTTTTTATCCTATTTTATATGTTTTTATCTTTGCTATCGGACAGGTGAATTTCACCTTTAAGGAATCATTCATCTATCCATCTATATGCAGCTCTGTAGTACTGGTACAAAAGTCTTTATTGGAATTCAGATGAAAGTTTGGTATCTATTATCACAATTTATAATTAGAGCAAAACACAAACAAACAGTTAATTGAAAGCAAAGAAAATTGGATTCAGAGAATGCCTACAAATTGTGATAGAAACAAGTAGTGATCAGCTTTATTAATTTGTGAAGGTCGGGATTGGGAAGAAACTTTTGCCCTTTAAATTCAACATCAGGGAACTTCCTGCATGAGTTTTTGTTGCTGGTGTTCCTTGGTTTGACAACCTTTTTCATTTTGGGTTCAACTTTGCTCCATCAAAACATCATACTGGAATCTGAGCATTTAATGCACACCTGCAGAGATGGTTTTCGTTAGTCGTAATTGTGGTAAACATATGTGAAGATGTAATCCTGACAATATCTTGCTGGTGGCATCTATTTGAGGATATGAACCATTGTAGAATCCACTGTCTTATCTAAGGAGGAAAAAACAAAAAACAAAAGAGGATGAAGGGATATATTTAATCGGGCCGCGCATACTGTATGGATAATCCTCTCTGGCTCACTTTTACTTAATATTATTCCTCCCATTTCTCTCTGTAAAACTGTGTAATCTCAGAAAGATTATTGTTGCTCACAGCTCATCCTTCATGGTCTATTCCCTTACATCCATTGTTGTCTACGGTCATGTTCTCTTTGTATTTCTTCTTTCACATTTACCTTTGGAAAAGAATGGAATGAGAGATTTATTTAAAAATAATACTTGTCGATTGAGCTACAGTATAAAACTTTAACACAGGTGGTTTGAGAGGTGTGCAAATATGGTTTCCAAACGATGCCGTTTGAGTCTTAAATTAAGTGAAAACACAATGATCACAGTATGTATGCTTCCTTAGAGTTGTCATCCTTACAGGTTGTGTGGTGTGATTATCATTGCATCTTTGTAGAGGGATTTATACCAGCAAATTACCCTAACCTTTAAAGAGTGCAAATCAGTAATCACACAACAGGCGGAGCACATAATTTCAAAATTAAATTGTAACACTTATGACCTTATAGTTCAATTGAAAAACAAACATTTAAAAGGATCTAAAATTATAAAAACAAATAAGAAAGTTTTACCTGTGTGTGCACACTCTAATGCAAATACTTTATTAATTCGATATTTTAATGCAATTTGAACATTTTGCAAGACGTCTATCAGCAATTATAATATGTCTGAAAAATCTAAAATAAAGCTCAATAAAGCTATCCAAGTAGGATGTTTAAGGTGTTCATAACATTACGTTAAGGTGATATTTTTGCAAAAATAATAAAGTGATAGAAATCATGTTATTATGCAAGTTTTGACATTATCCAATGGCAGATTAAACAGCACAGTTTATATATAGTGTATCAGGTTCAATTGTATTTGGGTAAAATGAGGCAGATGTGTAAATAGGAAAAGAGCATGTATCTCTAAAACTGATACAAAACCTGAAACAGGTCAGGGAGGCTGCTACAAGGGTGATTGTTACTTTCTTTGGGTAGAACTGGAATTTTTGATCTCAATGCCTGAAGTGATGAGCGGTTGTGCAAGAAGTTTAAGCCTCTGCTTAAAACTAGAAGGGTGTAGGTTTTCAACCTCAAATTGAATCTAAGCATCCATCCTTATGAGCAAGAGAATACCTTCAAATAAATAAGATTAATGTTTTCAAAAAGTCTTTAAGAGAGGTCCACAGAAAGGAAATCTTACAGAAAATGTTGGGAGCCACCTGGATACAGATGTGGACAAGTCTGATAGATTTTGAGAGGTTTCACAAGGTAGAATGGATAACTATAACCAAGTCAAAACGTACTGATAGACCACTACCAAAGAAGAGTAAATAAAATTTTGCAAATAGGAAATGCTTTATCAAACTATTAGTTTTACAATGTGCACACCTATTTTACCCAGTTATTGTGGCTTTTGTGTGTTTTCTCCTAATACATTTGTTTGTTTTCTTTATTTAAAAAAAAGGTTTTGACAGTTTTCATACATCACACAAACCTGGCATTATACCAGGGGCTTAAAACTTAAGAAAACATACATAGAGGAAATAATTGACTCAAAAGGGACAAGAAAAATAGAACTGCCACCAGCATTTGTTTTCCTGTGCAAAATGTCCTCTTAAAAGACCATTTTGAAGCTATGTGACAGTTTCAGCTATTTGACAGATCATTTAAAAGGCTGGTAACCTTTTTTTCCCCCTAACATATCTATGAAACGAAGGAACAAAAAGTGATTAGATATTAAAGTGAATAGGACAATTCCTGCTTACCCCTAAGAGTCTACATAAATTAGATAGGGTGGCAGGATGCCCCTTGTGTTATAAGACATACAGTATAAAGGGGGATGGTTGGCCTAGTGGTGGGAGCAGTGCACTTGTGCTCTGAGAAGGTTGCAAGTACCCGGTTCGATCCCCACAGCCTGCACTCTGAATCCCTGAGCAAGACCCTTAATCCCACACTGCTCCCCAGGCGCCGCAGAATTGCAGCCCACTGCTTCCCAATGGGATGGGTCAAATGAAAAGGTGATTTTTTTCCAATGTGAGATTAATTAAGTTCAATTATTATATTTATTAGAAAGCAGTGGAAAATGCTAAGGTTGACATAATGCTGTGATTCATCTAAGCTACCTGTGGTACTTTACTCGGACTGCTAGTAAAGTACTTTTTTTAGAACCAAAGAGCAATGTTGTGATTTTAGAGAAGCAAACCAATGTGTACAATTTCCATTGTCTGGTTTCAATATCTGGTGAAACTGTTGCACGCCATTTAAAATGCAAAAAAAAAGGTTAGGATTATTAACATGGGGAACAGTTTTTGTATGAAGCTTGTGTTTTTAAGAGGGTTATATTATTAAATTATAATATTAAGTAAAGAATTGTACCTTTAATATTTAAAGTAATGATGCAAGTGGAACAATGTGGTTAGTTTATTTCTTTGTGAAGTTACATGTAGCAAAATGTGGCTTGTCCAAGGTGCTCAAAACAGTAAATGATTTATATTATAAGGCTGAATTTGTGAGAGGATTCAGGCAAGGACACGGGTGATTTGTTGCTTCCGAAGATGAAATAGCGAAAAAGTGAGGATTTTCTTTTTTGAACATCTAAAATCAATGTCCAAACCTAGGCTTTGTTTTGTGTTTTGTCTCCTTTGAAGTTCTGCTTGATGAAAACCGAAGCCCAGATGAACGGTTAAGAGCTAAACGCTGTATAATTAGCTCTGCTGTACTTGTTGTACTCATGGGAGGACATGTGCATGTGGCCTGTTCTTCAAGGACAGTAAAATATGCAGGATGCTGTAAAAGCTGAAACAGTTGCAGCATCTGAATTAACCTAGCCAATCGTCTTCAAGAAGTTGTGTGTAATCTCTTTAATAAATATGGGTAAAGGCGGGTTACTGAGGGAAGTAATGTACTGATTTTCTGATAAGATGTAGGATTCTCTAAGTTCACGTTTACATTTTTCATCCTTTTTTCTCCACTACAGGCTCCGACTACTCTCCCCCTCCCCTTCCTCGGCCTCCTCCCGTTGTCTTGACGAATGAGCACAGAGGTGGCGGTAGCCATGGCGACCACAGTGGCGGGGGAGGAGGGGCCAACCGTGCGGTGGGTGTGGTTGGCCTTGCACCGGAGCACATTCCCACCCCAGGAGCAGCCCTAAGCTGGCAGGCAGCCATCGATGCTGCGCGGCAGGCAAAGATGATGGGCAACGCTGCTTCAGGCGGCGGGGCGGGACTTGGGTCAGGTGGGGGCGGCCCCATTTCTACAGCCAGCTCCACGCAAAGGAAGAGACAACACTACGCTTCTAAACCCAAGAAACAAACCACAACGACAGCCACAAGGCCGCCAAGGGCACTACTCTGTCTCACACTCAAGAACCCTATCCGCCGGGCTTGCATCAGCATCGTAGAGTGGAAGTATCCTTTAACCAACCATCCATAATTCTTTGTAATTAACTTCTGTTTTTTTACGCATTGCTGAGAGGCATGGCCATCCTAAAGCAAGTCTAGCTTTGAATATCCTGAAAAGGAAACAAATATGTATTTATGTGTGCTTACTTCTTCCTCATCCTTTAAAATAAAGCAAATATTTAGAGAGATGAATCAACACAAGAGGTCCTTTAAATGTTTTAAGTCAACTTTTTTCCAGAGGTGTTGCACTGAGTTGCAAATAAATCGACTGCATTTTTGCAAGACTTAAATATCAATTTCTAAAATATCGATTTAGCCCTTGCTCTAAAACACCAATGGTTTTTCTAAAACTTTTTACTTCACACATAAACTTTAAATGTATTCATATTGATCAAGTAGTTGCTGAGCATAAAAATAAATCAAATCTAAGCATTAATTGGGGAAAAAACTGAAAGAAACTAGAATTACTGGGTCAAACTGAAAGACGATTCTTTTGAATTATTATGAATTATTATTATTATGAGTTTAAACCATTAACTATGTTGACGAAACTATAGCATATTTTTACATTTATTAAAAATGCAAATAGGAAATAGATAAATTGGGTTCTTTAAACAACAATTTTCCCAAATCATGTTGCAAAAGTGTTTCACAGCAAAGAGACAATAAGACAGGTAAAATTATTGAAATAAACATTATTTAGTGAATCCAAATTAGACAACAAACAGACAATCAACTGAAGGAGTCGGATTACATTTTTAGTATGGGCGAGAAGCATTAAAATAGTGCAATAAGTTGCAATGAGAAGTTTGATACAAAAGACACAGATAATGTTTGTGAATCACAGCAGGCATACCTTTTAGCTACTGTATGCCTCAAAACTGCATTTATTTAAGACCACCAGCATTGCTTCAGAGCAGAAAAACATTTATGGTCGCATAAAGTATTCACACTATTTTTACTTTTTTTTTTTTTACAAGTTACCGTAGTTATCACCTGCGTTTTGTGCAGTTTTTGCATCTTTTTAGTACTTTGAAAGTCAGCTTGCTTCCACTAAAGAGGTACTGGCACAAAGCCAGAGGATGGAAAGCAGTTTTGTGCACATATAAACATATTTGGACTGTCAACAAAGCAATAGTAGAATCATATTAATAAATAAACAGTCTATTCAGGCGGATACAAATTAATGCAATGGCAAAAAAAATGACTGAATTTAAATATTGTAGCCTGTTAATAAAAATAAAGCTGAAAGAATGGAAATCTCAGTTCAAAGTAGGGCTAGACAATAAGACCAAAACTTATATCAAGACACGTTTCCTTGTCTAGCCTGAGAACAACTTCTTCTCATAATTATGCAAAGTTAATGAAACTATTATAGAAATAGTTTTTAAAAGCTAGCATTTTCTAGTATGAATTCAAACTTTCTTTGCAAGGATCAGCTCAGTCAAAATAAAACTGATCAATTCACACTTCCCATAATATCAAAGGACAGCTCCCTGTCAGAGGGGAAAGCTCACACTGTCCTATTGAAAGGCTGCACTCAGCTATTCATCCATAAGTTCAACTTGAAGCTGTTGCTTGCTCTACATCTGGTCAAGCTTTTAAATAAAAACATAGTGTTTAACATACTAAATAACATACTTTATATATTTCCCAGATCATTCAACATTTCATTCAACATAGTTATTTAAAAGATGAATAGATGGAAACAACACTCACAGACTTGGTCCATTTCATGCTTAAAAAAGTTAAATAGTTATTATTTAGACAAAAGCCAAAGGGGAAACCCTTTAGTTTTATCTTTCATCTGCTGATCTTTATTTAATCTGTATTAAACTTAAAACTTATTTTATATATTATTTTATAGGAGTGTTTGTCTCCTTTCTTAAAAATGCTGCCATTTTAAATCCCTCCTTTTATATTCATCGTTCTCTTGCCGATCACATCTTTCCTGTTTTATTTTTAAGCTCTAAATCACAGTTGCTTGCTTCACCCTCGGGGTGATGAATAATAGCAAAGCAAAGGGAGGTGGAAATGATCAGTGTCACAATCGAAGTAATCAATACTGGGCGCAGGGTCACCATCAGCGTCACCTCTGGAAAAGCACAGCCACAAATCGACCTCAGAGGGACAGGGGAAGAAGAAGAGGAATCGTCAGGGAAATGAGAAGGGCAGGGATGTGGGCAGGACGTGGATGGTGACAGGAAAGATAATGGAGTAGCGAAGCTAAGGAGGTATGGGGGAGTAGGATGGAGGGTAAACAAGAAAAATTACATGGCAGGTGGAGGGCAAACAATCAGTGAAGGGAGGCAAGAAAGCAGTGATATAACTGAAGGAAGTGAAGTGGAAACTAGTAAATTGGCATTCAGAAAGATACATTTTAATTTCCTTTGTTGAGTGCCCCATGAAGTAAATAATACATGACAATGAATGTAACATTCATTGTAAATGGTAAAAAAGCAGCACATTATGAGAGATTTTTAGCACTTAATGCATAATTCTACACTTTGTTCTTAGAGTATTCTCTTGCAACCAGGGGAAATTATCAGAGGCAAGAATTGAGAATTTAGTAAATGATTGAACTAATTATTTGTGACATTTTCATAAAGTGGAAATATATAAAAACAGCATAAATAGGTCAAATTTAGTCCTACAAGTTTTTTCCTATTAAACCTCCTTACCTGCTTGCAATTGAACATATACTCAAAATGAAACCGCCTCCCATCGGATCTGTGAATTATTTTTAGCTATTACAAGATATCTCAGCACCATAAAACTGTAAGTATGGATAATAGTCCAGCTCGTCACCCCTGGTTAGAAGAAACATTTTGTATAAAATAAATATTTCATAGCATAAAGACGCAATAAACCTCCAGGCCAAGTTTAGCAGCCGAATGAAAGATCGTTACCTCATCCCAGCAGCTACCACAATCATTTATTCCAACACATCCAAAGGCTTAGAAGAAAGACGCAGACACCAAAAGTGATGGAAATAAGTAAACAAATAAAGAGGAATGTTCACTGTCTGTTCTCTTTTTTTCACCCAAACATCTCGTACCAAAAAGTCTGTTGATTCACATTCATAGCTGATCTCGATAAACTATAGATTGAGCAAATGAAGCAAATAAATAACATTCTCAGTTATAATTTTTATATTCCTTATTACTTTGCTAATGTATTTGGAACCTTTGAAGAATAGGTCTTTTGTGCGTCATCATACAAATTATTTTTTAACAAATTTCTGCTCCAAACTTTGGGGACTGCTTCAGAAACTCACAGCAAAAATCCCACAGATATGTAAAATCTAATTTTGTGTGAAAGAGCTTTGATAGAAAACAAATATAAATGAAAGTAAATCAAATCTCTCTTTTAGCCTGTGCCTGAGTTCATAATGTGATTCTGGAAGAATAGACAAGCATTCTCCTTATAACACTCCTGCATTTTATGCAAAGCCTTGTCCAGCTTATGCAGGCTACAGCTGCAAATACTGGACATACTGTACATAATTTTAAACCCTATAGATTAAAACTATCTCTCTAGTTCATATGTGTCTAAAGGCAGATGAGCAAGTGCTTATATTTACATATGGGTAAATTAGAAAATGAAATAGATCTTCTGAGCATACCACCACAGAGCATTGATGTACTTCTGATAACATCAGTATATCTGAACTCACTTATTGGGTTCTGTTAAGATAAGAGATTATCTGTTTTACTGTGAGTGAGCAGCATCAGGTATTTATGGGAGCCACTTGCTGTATCTCTGCAACAGCTTTGTGGTGTTTGTGTCTGGATGCAGTCCCACTGTGAAAATATGTCTGAAGTATATACAGCCGGCTGCTTGAGATGCTTAGCACAATGTTTTTGTCAAGTTTTAAAATGTATCAGAAAGGAAATGCAATATTGCATTGGCTTAAAATCCAAAATCATCTTAATGCACATTTCGGATTTATTACCCTTTACTTCAGCCTCATGTATCGTTTTGTATGCTGTAACAGACACACTGTAAATTATGAATCGACTAGCTACTTGATTTGATGTCTTGGTCAGACCTCAACACTACAGCGCCAAGTAGATTTATTATCTTGTTGAGAGAAGCAGGGCTCAACTTTTTTTTTTTTTTTTTTTTTCAAATTGTGGGTCAGAAACCCAGAGTGAGTCACTGGCTCGCATTTCAGTGGATCTCAAAGTTTCTGGAGTTAGTTTAATGAGCTCTCAGCGCAAGAGCAAGTCATTAACTCCAGATGGATTTTAGTCCAGGGTTGAGGAAACTAAATGGTCTTGTGGTCAACAGTGTTCAAGGGTCAAAGCTTCATCAAAATAAAAGAAAAAAAAACTTTTTTTGACTGTAAAGCTGATCCTAAAACAATTTAAAGAGCTTAAACACTGTAGTTCATCTCTTCATAGGGAGACCACACTGTAAAGTTTGATCTTAATTAGATTACACAAATGTCTACTTAACTACACTAATCTTCTGTAAAGACTTTGAATTATTTTCTGCTAATGCATTTTTAATCCATATAAATTTTAAACCTATAATAGTATATCGGGAAATGATAGAGTTTAAATCAAATGTGTCAATATTTCAATACTAAAATTCTTTCGGATTAATTTGTTTTTATGCAAATGATCCCAGAGTGAGATTGCATGAAAGGAGTGCATAGAGAGTAGGAAAACATTTACTTTTATTTCTAAGGGGTGCAGTAACAGGTCCTCAAATTGATATATAACACATTGATTTTCATGTCCCATTATTTTTGCCATTTATAAAAATGGATTTCTTTGATATTTTTGCAAATCAATCTAAGGAGGCTGGTTGTTTTCCTGTGGGGCAAAATGTACAACAAAGGATAAATATGTTTTGTTTAAAAAGGTGCCATATATATATTTTACTGTAAAATAAATAACAGCCATTAACATATATTAGCTGAAACAATGACTAATAGTTAAAAGTTTTTTTTATGCATTATAACAGTCTTACTTAATGCTTCTAATAAATAGGCCAGAGATTTAATATAGATTTTATACACTTAAAAGTACCAAAGCAGTCTTGCAACTGGATTCGTCCACGATTGCCATGTAGCAATATCCCATCATCTATGCATGTAAATTTAAAGTGTATAACTGTAGTTTTTTGTAATTAACAGACCATTTTGTATAAAATACCTCTAACAACAATATTTAACGGAGTCCCTAGGATAAAGAATATTTGAACAAAGGATAAAATGTTATGCTTAGTGCTAATGCCACCTATTGTCTTTCTGCAATGTTGGCTTTATTTCTGCAACCTCACAGTTCTCAGGGATATAACTGACTTCTTAGCAATGAATGGCCAGTGATAACGTGGACATGACTAGTTTTACACCTCTCAGATAAAAAATGTTTTGTCAAAAAGGAAAATTGTTTTTAAAGCTTAATAACCTAACAAAGTATAGTAAAAGTAAACATATTTGTTAAAAGGAAAAAAGCTTTAGCTTGATTTTCTCTCTAATATTTTACTGATTACTATTATAATTCCTGCAGGTTTTTTATTTTTATTTTAATCTGATCATCTTACAACACAATTGGATTAGAAATTGCTGCCTATTTTACACCAACACATCCTGACTCTGGATTAATTTGACCTGCATTTGATATAGAATAAAAAATACAATATGTAGTATAGGAGAAAGAATAGAGTAAAAATAGGAAACTATAAAAGGGGGCAAAAGAAAAGACAATAGTTGACAGTGGTGGCAGTTGGTAGTTGTGTTGAGGAAAACCAGACCTCCTCCATGTCTCTTTCACATTCTCTCCCTCTCTCTGTCTCCATCTCTTCACTCCCCACTCTCCCTTTCTCTCAGAGGCCTGATATAATGAGGTCAGTCCCCTCTCAAGGATCGCTCCAAATAAAAACCCAATGTCTCTCTTCTCATTCCATTGTGGCCTCTCCCTTTCTCTCTTTCTTTCTTGGTGAACATCCTGTCTTCCACGCGACAGGCCTGCTCCTTGTCGTACCCATATTAGGACATGCGATGTCTCTATGAATTTCCCCACCCACCCACATTAAGAGGTTCCTAAGTTTCTTACTGTTCACCAAAAGCCAAATTCAAGAGTTTTGATCTCCCTCAGAAAATGCACGCCACTTTCGTTGTTGTGTGTTTGCAAATATTTACAATAGCAAAGGTGTATTAGCGCTTTGGTAAAGAAATTGCGTTTTTTGTAAGAGATTTTGAATGAAGTTTACAATGTTAAGAATATCTCAAAAATGGGATCAACTTTTAAAATATCAAGGGACAAAAACTAATGTCCATCTTAGCTTTGCACCTTGTGGGGCAATAATGGTTAAAAGAGCTTTTTTATGTTGCATTTAGGACTGGAGCTATACATGGAAGCTGACAGGCCTACGTGATCACAGTCCTAAAGGATACCAGAGATTGTGTCCCTCCCATCAAGAGACCACACCTGTTAACCTTTAGACAAAGAGGGTGAAAGTCAACTCCTCTCAATGCGGTTGTGGTTCTCAACTGGAAAAAGACTGAAACATTGGGTCAAGGGTTACTGTTTGCTTCCAGTGTGTTCATTTCATTAACTTGCTCTGGTAGGTTGCAACATGTAACTTGATTGATTGATAGGTGTCTTGTTGGCACTAAGACTGGTGCTGCTCTTATCTTAGGGTAATGATAATTTAATAAAAAAAAAAAAAAAAAAAGCAAAAGTGCTTGGATCTTGATTGTAAAAGAAATAAATAAATATCCTAAATGCAGGTGGCTTCCCGGAAATAGAGCGACTCTGGATTAATCAAAAGGATTAATTCCTAATTTGCCCATTTTTTGCCACTGTTCATGACACCTATTGGGCACAAACCCCTCTGGATGGTCTCTTTTCCTTGTATCTCTTAACACATTTGGATAATCCAGAATAACCTAAATCTTGTCTGCCAATAGCAAGTCGTCTGCACTTCTCTTAAGGATCTCTTACCTTTGTGACATAATAGATAAGTAAAACATGGACAGACAAATGACAGATTTAAAAGAATTCAAATACTTAAAAAAAGAAGCAAAAAAATAAAATACTGCAATAAAATAAATGCCAAAAATAGTCAGGAAAATATAATACACCAAATGATTTCCATTCACGCTGTCTAAAAATTAGGTATTTTTCTGCTCTTCTACAATTTGGTTCCTTATATCTCCAGACCTGACTAAATGCTTTTGTCTGATTCAGACAGGCAGACAACTGTTTAAGTTTCCTCTGCTGTCTACTCTTCCGTAACTCTCTACTCAGACCATTTGAGATCATCATCCTGATGACCATCTTTGCTAACTGTGTGGCCTTAGCTGTCTACATCCCCTTCCCTGAGGATGACTCTAATGCCACCAACTCCAACCTGGTAAGCAGCACATGAATTTTACCGCTTTTAAGCTTTTAGTTGATGGCATGCTATTTGTTTCTCTTTTGTCTCTTGGACAAGTTTACTTTGTAGAAACAGATTTGACTTTGATAAGACACATTGAGCATTGCATTTCCTTTCCTATATTGCTATCTTAAAGCCAGTTTCTCTATCATTTACATAAGCTTATGTAACCTATACATACAATACAAATGGGGTGTGTATGCTGCAGTGATAATGTCTGATGATGTAGAGAGTTATTGAATTTTGATGTCAATTAATGTGGAGCTAGAATAGCAAAAGAAAATCCATGTGAATTTACTCCTGATTTCTCGTAATAGGGACTGGAGGTAATGAAAGGGTTTCAGTGATACTGAGCATGTATTTATTCTTGTTTAGATGAATGAAGAGCAGCTGTGCTGTTGTGTAAAGTTGATTTCCCCTCATTTAACAGGGAAAATGAATACAATTTATTAAAAAGGGTCAGCAAGTACCTGTGGAGTCTGTTTGAAAATTGCATTGGAGACAGTTTGCCCACCATGTTTAACCGTCTTGTTTATCCATTAAAGTACCAGCGTGTACATCTTTACAGCATTTTTACTAGTGCCAGACCATAATTCTTACACCATATTTTTTGCACATCCCTGCAAATAAATGATGAATTCCCCTGTTCTGACACAAGCTGCCACCCAAGCAGTTGCTTTCTCCAAGCTGTGATTTCAAACCTGACAGACAGCTGTTGGCTTTGCAGTTTGATGCAATGTGTGAGTGTAAGAGGCAGGTACGTAGGCTGTATTTTATGGTGCTCATTTCCTATCCGTTCTGTGCAGAGCCACAACTTACCGTACTAGTTATTCATTTGTTAAGTTTAATGTCACTTTATATTTACAATTTAAGAGAAAGGTTTTTTGAGCTTTGTTGTGTTCTTTAAGAAAGAAATGATGGAACTTAATTTGACAAAAAAATAGAAAATTATTGTAGCCGTTTTGAATTTCCAATGGTCTGTACAACAACCAGATAATCTACTTTAGTCTACACAGGATTTCCAATGGAAATGTCCTGTTTTGACTTTTTAAAGCTGCATTGAAATTGATCCACACCTAAACCCCTCCTGGTACTGCTTTGTCAAATAATAATGCAGCGTGAAGGCAGGTATACAAGTCAGAGGAGTAAATACAACTAAATGAAAAAATTTTCTTTACACCTTTACAACTGTATCTTATCGCTCTTTGCATGCCTTCATCTAACTCTAAATTAACTAAATAGCTTACATAAACACATTGCACTACTATTGACTTAACTCTTACTTCATATCAGTTAAATCAGACATCCTCCAAACTTATTTGAAATCCTGTTAACAGGCATACATGTAAAATTACTAATACTAACCTTAGAATGAAAACTGGAGAAAAAAAGTTCAGTACATTTGTTTAGTGAAGGGAGAAATACAATGATAAGAAATTTGTTTTATGAAAAGTTTTTAATGGACTCAAGACCCATTTCTAGTCGCCCTTTGCCAGAAGACCTTATGAGAACCCTGTTTAACAAAAACTCTTCAAGCTCATTGTTAGAACTGTGCCCAATGTTAGTATCTAAGGTTATCAGGTCTCTGTAACAACTATTTCTGCCACCTACTTTTTTTATTGTTCTGCCAGTAACATGAAAACATGTAATTTATGGATTTTTCAACAGGGGAGTGACTCAAAACATACAGTAGCAGCCATTGAAAATGGCCCTTCCCAGTCAAACAACAGCTAAATGGCAGCCCACTTCCTGCAACTCCCAGCAAAATCCCCTCCAACTTCCAGCCACTGGAGTGACCCCCTCCTTCTCCTGGGCATGCATATATTTTACTCTGACTCCATCCTTTCACTGATTTACAGGGTCTGACCAGGAGAAGGCACATCTCTTTAGATCTTAATGTTCACAAATCATGACAAAAAGAATATTTTAGTACAAAACTTGATGAAAGGAATCGTAGGGGACCAGCCAAGGACCCACAAAAGAAAGTGGGGAAATGTTGAATGGCTACTACTGTATGGTAAAATAAACAAAGAAATGGTGCAACAGACACAAAATCAACCATCTATTGCCACCTCAGTCCCCAGACCTGAATCCAAAAACAACAATAAACTTCAAGCTGAAGAGAAACTGCATGAGAGAGGGTCCAAGACCTTTAACATACCAAACAAACTGTGCAAACAGCATACCAGTTAGTGTGGAGGGTTTTGTGGGATGAATATGGAGTTTTAATAATTGGTCAAAACTATTCAAAACTTTCACCATTGCCTTTTTAAAAATGGTCGTCTCATTTAATATCACTAGTGTTTAGTGGATTATTATGGATCTTATACCTACGTAGGAATCCTTAACATATACAGAATGCACATACAGGCCCCTACATACAAGCAACTCCCCCCACCACAGCTGTTGCTAATTAGTTTTATAACCTTCACACATACAGGAAGCAGCATGGAGATAGAGAGAGCACAGGCTTAACTATGTGGTTGCGCTAAGCATCTGTTTGGGGGCTAGTTTGGCAGACTGAGCTGGATTCAGACAGACACAGTCTTTAAATACAGTAGTTTTAAAAGATGTCTTCTAAAATGCTTCCAGATTTGCATCTTAGATCATTAAGTTACTGCAGTGCGTTCACAAGACAGTAATTACACACAAGACTGCAAGAACACATTACTTCCTCTGTTAATTTGTAGGGGTTTTTTCGTGATTCTTATTGTATTAATCCAGGTCAGAACTGTGGCGTCATTCTGAGTCAGTTGCTTGTCTTTCCAGGAATCGAATGTTGAGGGTATAAAGTCTAAAGTGTTCTCGCCCTTACAGGTTTATTCTCTTTTTACTGCTAAATTTAGCTGTTTCAGATAGCAGCAATAACCTGAATAATCACAAAAATTGTTTTCATATTAAACATTCATTTACTAAATAAAAACCTATAATTGGAAAGTTTATTTATGATGGAATTCCGGCCTAGTCTTCCTTATTTTAATTAGTCGTATGGCTGAGCTGTTTAAACAGGACCAGTTTTAGTTGGAAGTTTGAACTTTGACTAAGCCAGGGAGTGCCAAGTTCATTCATTCCTGCAACTTCTAGATGCATCTGTGGTCCTTAAAACCAGAATTAACTGGCTGAATTCCCTTATCAGCACATCATTAGGCTCTGCAAAGGCATGGTTATAACTGAATGATTCTGGTGTGTTGGAGAAGTGATACATTAAAAGGTTGAAGGATGTAACTCTTCATGACTGCAGCTGGGTACCGCTGCACTAAGCCCAACCCTTTTTTTTTTTTAGCTATGCAAAGGTGTACTTGGGAGTATGCTTTAGATCTATGCCTTATTGGATAATTCAAGGGCGTTTAAGCCCAAGGTCAAAAACTGATGGGCACTTCAGTCGGGTATTTAAGTATTCATGATTCCATCAATTATGGAAAATTGTTCAGGTCACAGAGTAGAAATGTAGTCCAGGTCATAACATGACAATTCTCATTGGCAATTTTCTGTTGCCATGATGTTTGGAAAGAATGGCAAACAGAATGTCAAAAAGATACATTTCCTGATGTCCTCGCTACATGACTTTTGTTTGAAAACATGATATATGCCTCAGAATCCACATACACTTAAGTAAAGATCAATGATGTTTTGTTAATTTCTCCAAATGAAGTGGGTTAAGAAAGCCATTCATTTGCCATTCCACAACTTTTTTCTGTTTTTGTTTTTTTTTTGCATTTAAATTTTGGGATGACGGTGGCTTAAAAGGTAAGTGTTCACCCTGTTACCTCTAGGCTGCTGGTTTGAGTCCCTGCTCAATCCATCTCTTTGGTCTTTGACAGGATACGTCTTTGGACCTGGGGTCTGTTTCATGAAGCAGGTTTAACAAATTCCGATTCAAATCTAACTCTACATTGATCTAGCCTAAAGTCGGGAAGTCTGAGTGTTTTTGTTTTCACAATGGCTGCTATCAAGTAGTTCAATGAATTTTAACTAGGTCCACTCAGAGTTAAGCGTGTAGGCAACAGGTACGAAAAGCCATTATCAGTGGAACACCAATTTGATGAGTCACCACGACAAAAAGCATGCTTTGTGTGAGGGATTGCATTTGAGTCAATGAGTCAATGCAATCAACTGGTTTTCCTTAGATAGAAAACTTTGAATCAGTTTGACTGTATGATCTGATTGAACTGTAAAGTGCCTTGAGATGACTTGTGTTGTGAATTGGCGCTATATAAATAAACTGAATTGAATTGAACAGGCAACAGGAACTGCCTATTTCACTCCAGTGGATCCAGAGATTTTAATGCAGAAATGCAAAATAATAAAATAAAATAGGAGATTGTGTT